CTCTAAATCTTACACCCTAAACCCCTAAACCCGTAACCTGGGCCCCCAAACGTATGTAGAACAAAAAGCCTGTTATAGGTGCTGGGCCATATACTTTTACTTACTTCTGGGGGGGTTTAGAGAACCATAAACCCTAAACCCTCAACCCTAAACCGTCTGCTCTAAACCGAAACCCTAAACCCTAAACCCTAAACCCTCTACTCTAAACCGTAATGTCTGGAGAGGCGCGTTCACACGGACGAGTGGTGGACGAAGGAGTTCCTGTCGATTCCACAAGAGAATCCGAAGGCTGGAATGCACTTTCCTCTTATTAGGGTTTAGGGTTTAGGGTTTAGGGTATAGATATACTATAGAGGAGCCCAAAACCCTATTATAGATATACTATAGCGGAGTACCAACACCCCATCGGTTCTCTATCTCGGGTCTCGGGTCACGAGTTTGAGTATTTTTTGGGCTTGGGGCTTCGGGGCTTAGGGTCAATATACGGGCCTAAATAATTACCAATGCTGTTTTGGGGTCTCCTTATTAAATTATGATTATGGTATAAGATACACCAACACCCTGTTCTAATTATTAAGGCCCCTATATTAGGGGGCTTGGGGCTTTTAGGGTTTAGAGTTTGGGGGCTTGGGGCCTGGGGTTTAGGGGTTAGGGTTTTATGGATTGATTCCAGGCGTTCAGGGCTTTGGGGTATTCGTACCTGGCTTTGACGCGCTTGGGGTTTAAAGGCGCGAGAGCCCCCAACCAAGAACTGGAAAGAACGCCCCGAACACAAAATCTTTAAACCCAAAGCCCCCAGCCCCAAACAAGTTGTCTTGGCAACCAATGTTCGTCCTTGCTCAACCGCCCCTGTTTCATCATCCTTCAAACCCAAACCCGAAGGCCTTGAAGACCCCCAAACCCTAAATTACCAATACCCGCCCGCCTCTTTTCAGCTGCTCCCCTAAACCCTAGACCTTAAACCCTGAACCTTAAACCCTAGACCCTAAACCCTGAACCTTAAGACCAAAAGCCCCTGAACCTTAAATCCTAAAGCCTAGACCCTAAACCCTGAACCTTAATACCAAAAGCCCCTGCTTTCGCCGGAGGTCGCTTTTGACAGAGAAGGGGTGTTGGTGGTGCCCAGCTCGGATGGCTCCAATGGCGGTTCAGGGTTGAGGGTTTAGGGTTTAGGGTTTTGGGGTTTTGGGGTTTAGGGTTTAGGGTTTTAGGGTTTTAGGGTTTAGGGTTTAGGGTTTAGGGTTCATGGGCTTCAGGGCTTAGGGTTGAGGGGTTTTGGAGTCTAGGGGTTTTGGGGTTTAGGGGTTAGGGGTTTAGGGGTTCAGGGGTGAAGCTTTTAGAGGTGTATAGGGTTTAGGGGTAAGGGTTTAGTCATGAGGGTTTGGGGTTTACAGGGTCTTCATGAAAGTCCATGTCATGCACATTTATAGTATTTGTTCGCCGTAAAGTAGTCCCTGTTTTGGTACGGTATCTGTTACTTTACTTCAGGCACTCCTTGGATTGGGCTTCAGGGTTCAGGGGACCCAGCGTTTGGGAAGTGTTCTCTTCCGAGGTCCTTTTTTGGACCCCGACAGAGTACGTAAGGAACTCTTTCGAAATCATGCTCCTATAGAGAGGACTCGATTCACAGGTTTCCTCTCTTTACTAGGACTTAAGCACTCAACTTGGCACACTGCACCCTTTCGATTCCAGCGGTCGATTGGTGTTTGAGGCAGTCGTGAGTAGTGCGCTGTAACGTTTTTCTTACAGCACTGTCAAGAGACCGACGACAGAGGTTTGCATTCAGCGTCCTTGCCGTCGGCATCTCGAGTACCACGCCGGCTACACCCAAAGCCGCCTATGGATCTCGCATACCACGCCGGCTATACCCACAGACACCTGGGGATTCTAAGTGATCTCCTTGTACAATACTATCAACCTTGTTAGGTTTGGTCTCAATGTATCATGTCTCTATCAGTTGCTGCCCTTGAACTTGTCTAAGTTGGCTCACGAGCGTGATTCTTAACATCTGCTGTTGCTGCTCAATGTTTGACAGCTTGGGGCCCTAAACGCTGCACCCTAGACCCTCTAAGCTGAGGTCTACAAGCCTGCCTTTTGGACTGTGACCACATGCGCGGTGCCGCTGGCAAGTTTTCGTAAGTCCGTTTCGAGCCCGGGTTTCTGAAACCGACACCAGGAGCAAAACTCAGCAGGTTCAGGGTTTAGGGTTCGATTTGCCCGGAGAGCCCAATACCCCTTAATTAAGGCATATACCTCAAATCATAATACTAAGGTCCCTATAGTTCAAGGTATATTCCTTACCCTAAACCCTAAACCCCAAACCTTAAAACCTAAACCTTAAACCCTAAACCCCAAACCCTAAACCCTAAACCCCAAACCCTAAACCCTAAACCCTAAACCCTAAACCCTAAACCCCAAACCCTCAAGCGATCTGGCTCAAGGTTTCCCGTGCCTCTCCTTCCCGTCCTGTGCGCTTGGCGGCCGGCTCCTCTTCGCCCGGGAGGGGATTCTCGTCGAGCTCCTGGAGCTGGCGGGTGCTGTTCTACCGGGGGCTCGTGCGCGGTGCGATTAGGGACTCTGTCATGCCGCCGAAGACGAATAAAGCTCCCTTGGTGGACCTGGGCAAGACGGACTTGCCGGGGGAAGTTCCTGTGCCCGAGGATGATGATCTTGCTTTGAACATCTCCCCGACGAGGAAACGGGATGGGGAGTCGACTCCGGGGGGCAGAGCTCCGAAGAAGCTACAGTCAGGGCCGATCAGTGTGGACATTGACAGGCTCAGAGCCCTCCTGAACGAGCAGAGCGAGGAGATCGTGGCGAGGCAGCAGCAGCAACTGGAAGCGGCCATGCGAGAACATGAGGCAAAGACGGATCAGCGGGTAGGGCTTGTTGAGGCTAGCGTGGCGGAGATCACGGGGCAGCATGCCGCCCTGGAAACCAAGGTGGAATCGCTCGAGAAGGCGCTTCAGGAGTTGACCGTGCTGGTCAAGCAGCAGCCGACTGGTCTGGGGCGCAGATTGCCAGCGGATGATGATGAACGTCGTAGGGGCACTTTAGTGCTCGGTGGCTGGCCCAGGGACACCAGAAGGGCCGACATCTTGAAGGAGGTTCAGGACAGTATCAAGAGGCTGGGTCTGCAGAAAGATCACGACGAAGAGGCTTTCACAACGGGACCCAGGAGGTCAGTTGCCCTTTTACCGATGCCGAGGCGAACGGGGGAAACTGACCAGGAGCGGAGATCCAGAATGTACCGGTTTGTGACAAGCTTCTCAACGGCGCAGGTGCTCTCAAAGTTTGGTGGCAAGCTCTGGTGCAACTTTTCGAAGTCGCAGGAGGAGCGGAAGATCGCTTCACATGCAGCCTGGATCAAGAGGGTCGTCGCTTCGGTTGATCCTGGCATGGTGGAAGACAAGCTGGACTTTGAATACAAGACAGGTACCACTTGGGGACCAGACGGGATGCTCGCGAGCTGCACGCTCCCAGTTCCACCCAAACATGACCTTCGCTTCGTGTGGAGAGATACAACTGAAGCCTTCAAGCCATGGGTCGACTTGGGCCTGCTGGGCTCGCTGTTGGGTAAGACTTCGGAGCAGGTGCAGGCTGCTTTGGAGGAGTGCAAACGCTGAGATTTGGGGCCCCCGGGTCCTGAGATTCTTGCTGCGCTTCGGGAGCTCTCGGGTGAGCCAGAGCTTGGAATTCGATCGTCTTCGGGTCTTTCAGGAGCAAAGGGTCGAGGGCATGCTGGACTTTGCGACTTCAATGCTGGAGAATGGAGAGATGGCCGACAAGGGGCCCTCCCTTCGTCTTCTATGAGTTCCTTGCCGTTGTGTACAGATGGTTTGTCGTCGAGTGATACTACATCATCACAAAGGGTGCTCAAGCTCAAGGTCTTTGGATGGAATGTGGGAGGATGTGATGTGTCGGACTTGACAAAGGCGGTTAGGGAAGGGTGCAAAGCACCACTTCAAGCCGCGGACCTGGTGGCGCTACAAGAGTTGCCTCGGGCGGAGGTCGGGTGGCACACTGAGAAACAAGGGATGATGGAGATTTTGTCGTTTCACTTTACCCCGGGGTGCACGCATGCACAATATGAGCAGGAGGTCTCGGAATTTCTCAAGGGAGCCCCCTCTGGCAGGGACCCCGTTGTCTGTCAGGTGGATGCAAATGCCCCCCTGGGATGGACCCCTTTTGAGTCTGTGGTGCTTCCTGTGGGGAAGGATGGGAAGGCCAACGAGATTCTTGGGCAACTGGAGGCCAAAGGGTTCCGACTTTTGGTCCCGCCCAAGGAGCAGTTTGAAGTTCCCACTAGTCGACCGAGGCAAGAGGGTAGGGTGGGGCACATCATCGACTACATGTGCTCTGCGAGGGTTCAGCACGGCCTTTTTCGTGTACATGTGGATTCTCACCTTGTTCTTGGTACTGACCACGAGCTGCTTCAAGGGGACTTTGCTTTGCCGGTGCAGCGGGTTCATCGTCGCCATCCCACGAGGCCCAGGGTGTGGACAGGGGGAGTGGATCAGATTGACCATGTGGATCAGCAAGTCCTGGTTGAGCTCGCGGCTAAGTGCACAGTCCCTTTGAGAGGTGAGGGCTACAGAGATCCGGAAGAGGTTAAGACTGCGATTGCGAGAGCGAGGGAAAGTCGTACCAAGCACTCGTGGTGTGAAGTGAGACGTCTCAGGAAGCTGGCGCGTAGGAAGTGGGAGCATGCTAGGGTCGCGAGGGCTGCTCAGGGGGATTGGAGTGCACTGTCAGGATGCAAGGACACAAACAGGACAGGCTGGGAGCATGGCTTTGCGGCATCGCAGCTGGAGGATCCGCACAAGGTTGTTCACGACCATTTGCAACAGGTCTACAAAGGAGCGAAGGTGATGGGAAATGAGGGACCCTTTCAAGGTGACACCAAGGCATTTACGGAGGAGGAGTTCGACTTGGCACTAGGGCAGATGAAAGGGGGCAAGTCGGTGGGTATTGATGGAACCTCAAAGGAGCTTTTCGTGGGCCTGGTCAGTGTTCCTGGGGGGAAGCAGCATGTCCTCGAGTTCTTCAATAGGGTTTTGGTCACGCATGATGTGCCACAAGACTGGAACATCCCACTCATGGTTCTCCTACCAAAGATTGCTGCGCCAAAGCTGGCCAAAGACCTTCGCCCCATTTCGATGGGATCGGCTGCTTCGAAACTGTTCTCACGGCTCCTGCTTAACAGAACCCTACAGCACATCACGGCACGTACTCACAGCCAGTGCGCTGGCACAGGACGACAAGCCTCGGATTACATGTTTACGATCTGGAGAGTGCTTGAGCTAGAACGTGAGTGGCATGCTGGGCTGTGCTTGATTAAGCTGGACGTGGCAAAAGCCTTCGATAACGTGGACAGGGAGAAGTTGTTGGAGCGTCTCAAAGAACGTATGGGAGATGGGTCTGAGTTCCGTTGCTGGAGGGCCCTGCTTCAGGAGAGCCCCGCGCTCTTGCAGTCTCCTTGGGGCTCGTCTCAAGTCATGATGAGCCAGGGGATCAAGCAAGGAGGGGTAGAATCCCCTGGTTTTTTCGCCATGTTGGCAGAAATCTGCTTACAGGAAACCGCTTCCAGATTCAGATGGCACGAGGATCCTGATGTCTTTGAGGGGTTTCCGTACCATGACGTCTTGTTTATGGATGATGGGATCCTCTGGGCAAAGGGGGCTGATCGAGTGGAGCAAAGGATCAGGCAGCTCATGGTTCTCCTCGGGGAATATGGGTTGAAGCTCAATGGATCCAAATGCCAATTCCTGTGCTCACCTCACTGGAAGGGGAGGAAGAGCATTGTGATTGCGGGGGAAACAGTTTCGGCGGGCCAGTCGGTGGAAGTAATGGGGATCCCTATGAGGGTTGGTATGACTCCTTGCGAATTGGTGGGACCACTGCTGTCGAGGGCGCGTGCCAAGTTCTGGACGTTGAAGCACATTTTCAGATCCAAGACGGGCCTGAAAGGGCGACTACAAACGATGTCCACTGTCCTTGGGGGGACAGCTTTGTGGTGTGTTTCGGCCTTGCCGCCGGACAGATCTGCAATGGGGCTTATGAACACGGCGCAACTGCAACTCACCATTTGGGCTATGAGGCTTGGTAAGAGACATGATGAGGACTGGGCGGGGTTTCGGAGGCGTTCCTACAGGTGTGCCAGGGCTGCCATGCACGGGGCGGGGGTGGAAAGGTGGAGCACCACGTGGTTGAGGCGGTGGTGGCGGTATTCCGGACACAGAACAAGGTGCATGCTGCGTGAGGTTCCCCCGATTAGTGCGCACATTGACTCTTATAGGACCCTCAGGTGGTGGGAACGGGAGCAGGTGAGGCCCGGGGAGAGATCACATCCACATCATTACCCGAGGTTGATGAATATGGAAAGGTCCATGGAAGTCGCTGCGGGACAGGAGTGGCGGACTCTTGCGCAAGACAGAGGGGCCTGGAGAAGCAGGGAACAGAGGTGGGTGGATCAAATGGACCTGGCTTGGGCAAGCGGGAGGCAGACTAGGTTACCTGACTGGCAATGAGTGAGCGGGGGGTAGAGTTTCTGTAACACAGGGTGGTCGCTGCCTGTGAAGGTTTTCCTGAGATGCAGCTTCGGCCCCAGTCTTGCTGTAGCTGTGCACTTTGTCTCGCTCGGCTCCCTTAGGGACGCTGGTCGCTAGTGAACTTTCATCTTCGTGTGCCACGTGATGTGGCTGCTTTCTAAATTTCATGGCAGGTGTCTTTGGTAGTGTGATGGTCTGCGCCCTTTTCGTGGGCGTCAAGGAGGCCAGTGCTGCGGACCCAGCACCTTCTGACGATCAGCCGCATCATGGACATGGTCGGCGGTTCGTGAGGCCCCTGGTGGACCCCAACTACATGATTCAGGACTTTGACCAGGGGGATGAAGTGGTATGGATGCAAAGGCGAGGCAAACAGCAGGGCACCCCGGATGAGCCGGACGGAGATAGACGGAGGAGGACATCGGCATGGCGAACCGGGGTTGCAGCCAGATGGCACGAGTTAGGTGATGCTCGTGCTAGGGCGAGAGCATATAGACAGCTCTTCGCGGTCATCGTGCAGGAGCATGGTTTGGCGCCTCTCTTGTTTGCGGAACAAGTGATGCAGCCAGTGTGGGAAATGGCCGTCCCATCTTGGCCACAGCATACGAGGGACAGCCAAGGGGTGGACATGTGGGTGGAGACCACTGCGGCGGAGATCATGCGGTTGTATGCCCTACAGCAGCCGCGGCCTACTTCAGCTCAGTCGGCCTCGAGTGATGCTCACCCTGCTGCGGGAGTGGGAGACCTGCCACCAGCACCGCATTGGGAGTTTGTGTTGCCGCCTGACTTTGGGGTGGACCCGGGTGCTCCCGTGGTGGGGGTTGCGCCTGGTCCTGCGGCCACTCCGGACGATGCTATGTCCCCGCACAGTGAAGATGAGGATGGCACCGACAGTGCTACTGCTGAGGAGGAGCCGGCTGGTGAGGCGGATGCCTCTGCAGGGGCGGCCCTGGCGACTTCGCCTCCAGTTACCAGTGCCAATGCTTCTGGAATGGTATGCCTCTGTGGACCAGGGTGAGGACCAAGGTGTGGATGAGGTCGCAAGCACTGCTGAAACTGTCCTCGTCCCCTCAGCTACCACTGGCTGCCCAGTGCAACGGCCGGGTCAACGAGCTGCTCCCTCTTCGGCCGGTGGGGACCAGGGCGGGGTTCCGCTTGAGTTCGATGATTTCCAGAGGCTCTTCGATAGATGGCGAGAGGGGTCGATCTCCAATGATGAGGTTGCGGAGCAGTTCGGGCGCCACACCTTGGACCTCCTCCAGACGCAACTGGTGGCCATCGAAACAGATGGCGATTCGGTTGGGGTGATCCAGGGCTGGAAAGCTACAACGGAGACGATCTTGGATGCCCTCGTGGATACTGGACGCTCTGAGACTGAGGACGGTGGCTGTGGGAAGACAGAAGGGGCCGAGACTGGTGGAGAAGCTGTGCAGGGTGATGGCAATGGGTTTGACGAGGAGGAGTATGACGAGAGTGCCGTGATCATGGCGGAGGGTTTTGACATGGGGCTTGGGAGTGGAGCTGGTCGTGCTGTTCGTCGCCGGAGATACCAGTGGAGGGTTCCAAGGGATCGCAGTGACTAGATGTCTGACCTCGGTGGCATCTGAGAGGGGTTGTTGTGTAAGTTGTTACCATGGCCTGGTCTTGACCGTAAGCTGTCTTGGCTGGAAGCTAATGGTGCACACCTGCCTGCCCTAGTGGGCTCACCTGCGGACATGGTACTGTGGGAAAAAGGCCCTCAAAAAAAAAAAACCCAAACCCTAAACCCTAAACCCTAAACCCTGAACCCTAAACCCTAAACCCTAAACCCTAAACCCTAAACCCTAAACCGCTGGCTTACAGCCAGGCCCGCGATCGCGTGTCCACCCGCTATGAA